ATTACGAGCGTCTTACTTAATTAGTGAACTGTATGATAAATACATTGATAACAACGACCGATTAATGTTGTGCTGTAAATCAAATAAGTAAAATCTATAATATTTCATAATATTATTGATTTTAATCAAAGTTAAAGGTTAATGAATAATTAATGTGTAATACAATATATAGGTTCATTTTCAAACGAATAATTGTATCTAAATCGATTTTATCGAACCATACAGTAATAAATTAATTACTGACATGTATGACTACTGTTATTAAAAAATTAAATATTGTGAAMAATAAATTGAAACAATAATTATACGTCGTTAAAATGTTTAGGAAAAATGTTGTATTTTATACGCGATGTGAAAAAAACATTTTGATATTTAAGAATACGGCAGACATAAATATTACCTAATTTTACTTTAATCGTTATAGACAGAAGGTTTAAGTATGGTTCTGCATCAGYTTTAAATCTAAACCCACATATTATCTTGTCCACATAGACAAAATAAGATAATATCACATAAATTACGCAAAGGTACAACCAATTTTTTATGTAGTATCATAATTCTTTTTTATCATTGATGAAGAAGATAATAATAATCTCGGAATTAAATTATTATATTGCGTTTTACTAACTATTGTATTTTACGGACCACTTTATTGTAATTATTTTCATAATATACCTTGACACGAATGACGAATGTTTCATAAAAAATAAATAAATATTAATACTCTAAGGGCCGTTATTATACAATGTTCGGTTAGTGCCTGATAACACTAACCGGAAGAATTTATCATGAGTTAACCGATAGAATTCTACCGGTTAGTCTTAACTGACACTTCACCGGAAATTGTAAGAACGGCCCTAAATAAACAATTTTTATGTACCTACGTACCATGTTACACATATATTTAATAAATTTAACGGTTCATTAAAACGTTATRAATACATCAATCACGCGGAATGCTCWACAATAATATATTATAATGATGTTTAGAGATAGGTAGTTTAATTTTAGGAAAATTCGGCGTTGAACCGCTAAAATTAACAACGCCTGTTTGTAGCAGTAGTACAGTGTACGAACGAATAGAAACTTTTATAGTTTTTTAGAATTGGTCAATTTATCAGTAAAAAAAAAAATAATAATAATAATAATAATTAAAATTCACATGGCGTGGTGATTTGTAAGTGACAATATAATATATTATACACACACGCCAAAAAGATCGTACATGAGACGTAATAAAGTCAACAKCCCTAGGCCATAATACTACGCGTGTACTCGAGTCTCGAAAGCGTTAACACTTTTGGTCGAATGCAAATAGCACTGGGGGGAAATGGTACATAATATTTTATAAATAGCGGCCAAGGTGAGACGAGTTTGTTAAGTATCCGGTGTTCAAAACCTGTTCTCATATATATTTTCCGAAGCACTTAATATAATCTTCCGTTATGTTTGGTCGACATTCCACTGACACTTGCAGCACACTACAAACGTGTTTTTTCTCCTCTAATCAATTACATCGATCGCGTCCCTCTTATTTTTCAGTAGCCCAAGAATCTCGGGTGACGTATGGTCGGGAATCAGCAGTCCGAACTTGGTTAATGAATCCATTCTCGCGATGTTCAGTAGGTCACTRTCTATAAKATAAATTTTATTCGCCGTCGGTCGAAACTAGAATACATTATTCAATAATGACGATTCAAAATCACGACAGACAACATCGTATTATTAATATATTTGCATTAGACCGAAAATCCTAAACGCAAACCGATGAGTTTTTATTACTTTTTACCGCGTAGTGTTTATATGTATAGTTTTTGCATTCCGACGAGCGCTGATAGGACATAATAACAGTTTATTATTTAACTTCGAAGGGAACAATAAGAGTAGTCGTGTATTATAACCGTGTATAGGTACCTACGTTATTATTATTTATTCTATAACATAAATTAAGTGACACATCTTAAAGACTGGTTTATATGGTTGCGATAATTACAGGTCATGCTACTTATTTTATAACGGATKATTATCTCACGGTGTAATCGTTATTTCAAGAAGATTACTAAGATTACGACGCGGTCATAAAACTTCTAGAAATTGTTTGTCTTTTAATTATCACAATACGTGTCGTAAAATTAATTTGGATATATTTTTTAAATAACACATTATGTGGCTGAATATTATCGTGAGTCGTCTCGTGTGCGGTCGAATGAATGTCTGCAGCTGCAGGGTGGTGATTTCTCGGTGAAAAACTATACACGACATTTGTTGAAACTGTATAGTTTTTCTTGTTCTATATTATAATTTAATATCAAAACTACCTTAGACAGCGGTTGTCATAAACCTTGTCACTCTGTGAACTTCGAAAGTACACTATAGGACCTGCAAGTTCCCTTAAAAAATTCCACAGATATATAAAATAATTGTTGTCTTCGGATCGCTTTCTAGCGCTTATAATAAATAATTATTATTATACAAATCTCTCGACATTCCAMGACACGATATCATTGGATTATTTAATTTGATTTATTTTAGTTGCGCATCAAACGCAGTTTGAGTTCCGTTTCACCACGGTTGATTACGAATCGCAACAAGTGGCGTCGCCGTCGTTCTCGGGCTTCACTACAACACTACCATTATAATTATTAAAGAATTGCGGTATTGTACAAAAATATTATGAAAAATATATATGTGGGTACRAAAAAAAGCACACAGTGCACATTGTATCCCACGATTTGAACGGAAATCTCGTTAATTTTCCGTTTCGTTCGATAATCCGACAGTCGCACACCCCCGACTTATCGTTGGTCGTATACGACGATATATTACACGGTACCTATATAAAGCGTGTCCCCTCGAGTCGATGATTAATGATGATCGCCCTATGCACAGTTGTGCAGCGGAGTATGTACATTCGCGAACGGCGGTCCCCCATCCATGACCTTTGGTGCGTTAGTGCGCGGTTAAAGGTCGTCTATATACATCCCCRTTTTAGTAGAATGGGTTCAAAATTGATTTGTCCGCCGGGTACTATTATTTTGTTGTTCCGAAATCTTGCTAATGACCGCGAAAAGGGGGCTTTCGATTTTCGAATCCCTATGCTCACGTCCACGGGAATATATACATTATTATTGCACKGTTTGACKAAAACAGTGTAATATATTCGACCTTAACTTTGCAGTAAACGACCGACTACGCAGCGTTGTGCGTCGTGAGAATTAAACGCGCGTATACAACAATCGTCGTTTCGATATAATATATATAGGTGGTATAGCTGCCGTCGAATAGTCGTCGACCTGTCAGCTTTTCAAAATCCACTCGTCGTGTACGTATTATTATTATTGTGTTATATCGTGAAAAGAATATAAAAAAAAATCATAATTTCCGCGTGCCTTCTGCCGGTCATTATTTCAATCGGTACATTACGATGCAAATTGCTCGTCACTATACACACACACAYTCACAAAAAAATATACATAAGAAAACCCGAGCAGCACAAATAATTTAGCAAATATCCGGCTTCGTATACCCACATAATAAAGGTATATAGACGTGATGGTGTTAGACGCGTGATTCACATCTCGCATTC